CAATATTGAAATATTAAACTGTTCTTATTGAAAGACTGAAAAAGTATGTTTATAAAATTTAAATATATGTATTCTATGTAGCTATATTGTGTTGTAAATCAACTTCATTTGTTAATAAATTTGAAAACAATCCAATGCATCTCAGGCACAATCGATTTTATTAAATCAAATAGATGTTTTCTAAAATTACAGGAATGTAATCAGACACGGAAATGTATAAATAGTCATACGTATATTACTTATATTATGGGTTTAAATATTCAAGTATGCGATAAAAAGTTTTCATCTCAAAATAGAAGAAAATGTTAAAACAATAAATGTTTTCAGTTATGGGTGTTATAGGCTAGGTCAAATGAAAAGATAAACGAAATATCCATGATTAAATTTTGAGACAGTTAATTTGCAATTAAGGCATTTTTCAGAGGTCTTTTTTTAAAATTAATAACAGGACATTTTAGGTTCTCTTTAGGTTATAAAAACACAGTACATGCGAAAATTTTCTTTTATCTCTGTGTGAATACAACTCTAGGCAATAATTTCATCAGAACAGCGTCTCAGTTTCAGGTTTTTTACTTGCATTAAAGACAAATAGCTATAACCATTACCAAAATCAGAATAATAATTACAAATTAAACTAAGCTTACTTAATCCTACATTTTCGACAATGTAGGTTACAAAAATATCAACATTCTTTCCAAATAAAAAGGTCAATAGCCGTCGAGAACCTGCCGTATCCATTTACGCCATTAATGCGTAATCCATTAATGTAGTGCGACCTAAAAATATTTGGGAAGTTGTTCTTATTAAAGCAACACTCTTTCACAGTTGTGTCTAGCTAATCAGTTCTACTCAAACAGCAAATGGTAGATGGTGTGTGGCGCACAAGAGTTAGGGCTATATTTAAGTTATACCCATGGGAAAAGAAAAGGAGCCGCTTCTTGAATTCACTTTCAGGCTATAGACGCTGCTGTGACTGACCTTCTGAAAGGCACTAACAGGGTCTTCCACAACTGTCTCCGTATTCCTAAAAGTAAATGTTTGTAAGCACATTGTTCTGATGCCTTCTGTCACAGTGGACTTCGACAGCACACTCAGTAATTTATTGCTGCATTTTGCTGTTAAAAATAAAGCCTTATTCAAATTAGGTGGTGCAGGTGTTGTTCTCTCAATGGTTACATGTACTAACGCATTTGTAATCGCACTCATAGGGCATGTAAAAGCTATCTCAGCTAATTCAGATTGATCTATAATGTATTTATCAACGATTTTAGCGAAACCGAAAATTGGACATTCAAAAATAATAATAATAATAATAATAACATGAGGCATATGGGCTTAATAAAACATTTTAAAAGCCCAACATCCGAAAAGACGTTTGTAAAAATACACCGAGAAGATGATTAAGAAAATAAATCACACAGACATACACAAAAACATATGATCGGCTATACATTCTCTATAATTAGCCTATTGCACATCAGATGATGATGATGATAATGTCTTAAGTCTATCACTAGATGGCGTTTACAGGAATAAATTGCATGATACGACTGCTTTTGCTAATGGGTGCAACATTTCGATGCATCTACAGTAACGGTGGTCATATCTCTAAAATAAACGCGTTTCTGTGCATCTGTCTTGGGGATTACGATCACGCACGAGGAGCAGTTAGATGTTATTTGTTTTGCACTAGAGATACTGTGAAATTGTTCAGATTCAACGGGTTTTAATGAGAGGTCTATTTCTAGGACTACTGGTGGGAAAGAGTTGACTCTTTAACGAGTGCAAGGTTACAACGCATCCTGCTTTATGCCTAGCGAGCCTTGGATAAGCCTATTTGCTAGAGGCCTATACAAAAATAAATAAATAAAAATAACAATAAAAGAGACCTTACACCAGATTTAACCATTATGAATGTCAGTGATCATTTAACTGTTGTTCAATAAGAACAGTCATGCCATTTGTTTTCAGTATCTTGAGAATTTTGCTATATTCGTTTAGTTCGGTCGCGTAACATTTAACAGACTCAAGACGTTTAACAACAACTGTTTTGGGAACTTTTTATTTTTCTTGGCGTGTGAAATACAAAGGAAACCCCCTTGTTGAGCATTTTGAAAGTGACAAGGGGCCGGACACATTTCTGGGTAAACTAAACAACGCTTTGACCTTTGTGGATCCACCTGCTCACCGCGCTACACAGGTGTAGAGTCTCCGTATTCCCACCGCCTATATGCCAGCTAACCATTTTTGGTTCCCAGAACGTTCTGGGAACGTTCCCTGGTGGTTAGCCAGGAAAGTTTTCTTAACGTAAAGAGAATGTTCCCTTTAGGCTATAGGGAACGTTCTGGGAACATCCCGGGAACGTTCCCCAAACGTTCTAATTACGTTACGAAAACGTTCCTGACCAACCAACAGGGAAGGTTCCCAGAACGTTCTCCTAACCTCTTTACTCCGATATCACTCACCCTGCTGTACATCAGTAATCATCCAGCACTCCCGTCCCGCATGACGGACGGATGGACAACAATAATAATGGTTTTAAACTTGTTTAACGTTAATCAATAAAAATAATCCGAGCACATTTAACCATCATAGGGAGGATTAAATGAGATTGAATGTATCCATTAATATAGGCCTATGTAAGATTTCGTGACTTGTAGGCCTATCACTGTACCATAACCCAGATTTTACATTTCTTAAGCACCAAATCATTTACTTAAATGTGAATTGTATTTTTACAGACATTAACAATTTATAACATTTATTTGACTTTAACTAGGATAACATTACATTATTAGCTTCTCTCTTTTGGTCAGTAAACAAAAACCTCATGTTGTCTTCAAATAGACGTGTCAAATCTCTCTGAAATCACAATATTTACTCTCGTACCCTATATATAATTATTCAATAAACAGATCAATAAACGAATGTTAGTCAGTAAAACGAAATGACCATTCATTTTTCAATTAGGTGATTGCGTGGCTTTCTGTGGAAGACAGGAGAAAGCAGGTGCTGGAGAAGCGCGGCGCAGTAAAGAGAGATTTAAACAAACCAAGGTGTTTATGATAAGCTTTTCAAGACTACGCTTAACCTTGGCTTAATATTTCTGCTACAAAATGTGATTGATCTGATCATTCTAATGCAATTTTACTCCTTTAATGTCTACAACTTTATTAAAAGCTATTTCAGACATGAAATTATGCTAAATATAGTTTGTTTATGAAAAATACACATTTCAGCATTAGAATAATCTCTCTGTTGGTCATCACTCAGAAACATCTGCAAAGTTTTATTTCGTTTACATGGTTATGAAAATACAACTAAACCTCCAGGGAACATTCTGGGAAGATTCTCTTTAGGTTATAAAATGAAACCTAAAAGTATAACCTGCAGGGAATGTTCTGGGAAGGTTCTCTTTAGGTCATTAAAAACATAACCTACAAGGAATGTTCTTATTTGGTTCCCAAAAGAATGGGAACCATATGGGAATGTTAGGGGAACGTTCTGTGTTTGTTGGGTCATACCTGACCCATTGCTTTGCATTCATGTCATATCATTCTTTAAGGCTATATTAAATGTTACATTAAAGACTGTTTTTCTAATTAGACATTATTCTCTAATCATGGCTAGATGGGCTTGGTTTCGCACAGCAGATTTCGGGGCAGCTTCTCTCTAACCTTGTTTTGCAACAATAATATTACTTTTCTCTTCCTTTCAAACCATAAATAGATGTCTAAACAATTCTGAAAGCAGAACAATTATTACCGTCTACTACAACTGGAAATGTGAAAAACAAACGAACAACCAAACAAATAAATAAATAAATAACAGTCCTACTTTTAAAAACACAATACAGAAGCTACATGCAGGGCATTACTATAAGGACCACTGACAAGCCTGGACCACTCACATCTCCTGGAGCACATCGCCTACAGTAAATGTGGGTTACTAAATATTTAAAAGGGTGCAGAGACTAAGCAGTAAATGACAAAGATGGCAAACAGGGACATTAACATGTCATTGAGCTGGATGTGACTAATAGGCTCCTTACTGTAGTCTAATGAAAGTGTCATTGCAAATCAGCACTTGTCTGTGGTTATTATTTATAAATATTTCATGTCCCAACCACAAAGAAGCTGTCAAATCCAAGTCTTTAAATTAATGAAATGCTAATGATTACACCACTGCTCAAATGAGAATTGAGGAACTCAAGTATGATTGTAAAGTGAGCAACAATTTTGCAATTTTGACTGATGACTCACTGACAGATGCCTTAACAGGTAAGTCTACTGATATTACTGAATAGGTTGTATTTTTGAGTAAATAAAAAGATTGATGGGACAATAAAGGACACAAAGAAATTATAAACGAACTAAATGCTCTTCAATTTAATAAAGGTATATTATTGGATATTATCGTGTAGGCTAATCTAATTTATTTTCTGTAATGAAATAAAATCGTCAGGCTACCAAGGCAACAAACATAAGTAACGCTAGCATATTCTGATGTAATAAAAAAATTACAAATGGCAAAATAATCCATATAAAACAGTCGTTGGTAATTCTTTAAGGCGTTTTATAAATAAACAATGTGTAATAATGACATTTGAAATTGTTCTAAGAAAAATTATAGGCTAAATCAAAATAGTTCTTTATAGTATAGATATTTGGTAGCCTACAGACCTGTGTTGATTTAGGCATTTTTGGGATATAGTTGAACATAAAAACATCATTCACATACACATCGTGTTCGTATAGGCAAAAGGCGGTTAATTCAGTGTCTTTACCTGCTGGTGATGTTCCATAGATTTATTTGATCTCGGCTTATATATTCAGGAGATCTAGCAACATCTTTGCTTGCTGCACTACAATACTCTATTTGAGCCAGAACTTATTTAATACCAACATTTTCATGTTTTGATCAGACCACAAACGCCCAACCTGTTCAATCACTTCAACCCACCTGCTAATGTAAGATGTCACCACGAAGCGCCACTGACTCCGCTGTCGTGTTGTTTCAGGAAGTGAATCTCAGTCGATTGGGCTCTGTAGGAAAGCATGAGCGATGCATCAGAAGTCGTAAAGGCTACCGGACATGGAGAACTGGAGCCTTATTTCACTGTGCGTGCTGCTCGGTTTAACGTCGAGATGGACGGTGTCTTTTCACTCATACTCAGGTTGGTTTTCAGTGATGCACCGGTTTCTTCAGGATCAGTATTGACACGTCAAAGTCAGTGGCAATTGTTCGGAGCAACTCATTCATATGTAAATAAGCAAGATCAGCTCAACTAAAACGACAAGCAAGGGGGATAAACATTATTCGTGAAAGAATGTTATACATAAATAGTATGTACCTTATAAATTTACGTTTTTAAATTAATAAATCATGCTATTCTGCATGTCATTTAATGGAATAGGTGCAGGTAAACAGCCAATGTTCGGGGACTATGAAGCACAGAGACACTGGCAAGAAGTGACTTACAATCTACCTGTTCATGAATGGTTAGTCTCTCATTATTATTTCATGGCCAAGTAAACCAGCACTGGTGAAGCTCCCTTTCCTTATATATTATAGAAATTAAACGTCACATTATTTTATTTATAAGGCCAAGGCCCTAACAGATTTTTTTTCAAACTAGGTACTTCATTACTACAAATAATGATTTGAACTACTGGGGTCTTGATTATCCTCCTCTGACAGCATATCACAGCCTGGCCTGTGTATATGTGTAAGTGTTCTTTTGCATGGTATAGCGTCCATATATATAAGAGGTGTATATGTATATTCCATTTATCAGTTGAACGTGGCTTGATGATGATGATTTTTCTTTGTGTGGTGTGTATTTTCATAGAGCAAAGCTGCTCAATCCTGAATGGGTGGAGTTGCATGCATCTAGAGGCTATGAAAGCCACTCACATAAGTTGTTCATGAGGGCCACAGGTAGGTAGTGATGTCATTTATTTAAAATATTTTAGATGGCAGTGTCATTTCTACCTCTTAACTTTACTGAATTTGCAGAAATACTGGAATTATGAAAGGCATAAAACCACTTATAATCTTTTGTTTCTACAGTATTTATTTAAAGTAAAGTTATTTCTAATGAAGCTTCCTTGATGATATTTACCATAGTCACCACAAATTCAGCAGACTGACCACAAGCCCTTTCTAAACTAAATGTAAATTTGAAAATTAAATGATGTACTAGTGCAGAAATAAGGATTATTATTGTTTTGTATGTAAAATATATGCTTGTTCTGTGTATAGAATTACTCAAATACACTTGTATATCATGTACCATCTTGTGAAATATATATATATATATATATATATACAGTGGTGTGAAAAAGTGTTGGCCCCCTTCCTGATTTCTTATTTTTTTGCATGTTTGTCACACTTTAATGTTTTTCTATTTTTAAAATGTTAATTTATAAAAAGTAAATATTAAAGGGGTCATGAACTGAGAAATCAAAATTGGAACGTGCCACTTTATTATGGCGTAATAGTGTGTCCAAACACCACCTCCGCAGAAGTAGATCAACATCTGCTTCTACGTCACTGCCTGTTTAGCCCCACCCACCGATTCAAGCATATAGTGTAAATAATGAGAGAGGCAGGGTCTATGCAGAAACCAAATGATAAAGATGGCTCCGAAGACAACAAGATGCTGTGCAGTGCCAAGTTTTGGAAAAACAGTCTTTGCATTGCCTTCCTTCTGATCACAACATTAGGAAAGAGTGGATGAACTTTATTTTTAATGAAGTTCCAGACCATGTCAGTAAGAACATGGTCCTTTGTTCACGTCATTTTACCACAGATTCGTTTACAAATAAGAAAGATTGAAACTAAAAGACGATGCTGTGCCAAATATATTGGAACCGACAGTAATGTTGCACCACACAAGTGTAACTTTTTATTACGCGGTCACTATTGCTTTGTCTGTTATTACAGATCATTTGATATGTACTGAGTATTTATGAGTTTTAACCGAAATCACAGCAGCGTCCATCTATGAAGGCTGTAGGTTATCAAACATACACAACTGTTAGCCAATCATAACAGTGGGCGTTTACATCCGTGTCTAGAATCCACTACGCCTATTCAAACAGAGCGTTCCGATGAGGGAGGTCAAAACAGGACGGAAAATAGCCTATTACTTCTAAATTATGATGTTTTTTATGTAAACATTTTGATAACATTATAAGTGGACCTCAGAGAACAGTTCAAAATAATAAAAAAGGCAGTCCATGACCCCTTTAAAATGTAAATCTATTTATTAGTTTTATGAGAGTGTGTTTAAATTGCTGCATTGAATTTCTTTGAATAATCTATTATAATGTTTTTAACTGTTTATAGTCGTCAAAGTCAACAGTCATATGATTGCATCTAGTTATAGTTAAATGTAATGTAAATGTAAATCTCTGTTGATGAGGATAAATATTGATATGGTTATGAATATTAACCTTTCTTGGTCCAGCAGTTCTTTTTACAGATATTTTGATCTACATTCCAGCAGTTTTGCTTTTCTGCTTCTACTTTTGCGATGGGTCCTCTAAACAAAAGGTAACTAAAAGACTGCCCTTGGATTGGTATATTGTTAAATTGTATTTGTAATCATTAACATGCTTTGACTTGATTTTTTTTTCTCATAGGTTGCCACAGCTCTCTGCATCCTTCTGTATCCAGGACTTATACTTGACTACGGTCATTTTCAGTATCCTTTAACCTTTACCTTAATTGCTATGGTATTTATTCATTTAAGCTATTCACAGTAATGTCAAGAAGTTAAAATCCAAAAGGAGCAGCATGGGCATAGTCTTTAACTGCAATTTCAGATATAACAGTGTGAGCCTGTGTCTGGCTCTATGGGGGATATTGGGACTTGGTTTGGGCTGGGATCTGTTTGGTTCCTTGGCCTTCACTTTGGCTCTCAATTACAAGCAAATGGAATTGTACCACTCACTGCCTTTCTTCTGCTATCTCCTGGGCAAGTACATCAACCAGGGTTTGACTGGGAGAGGGTGAGTCTCTTGGGTTGTTGCATAAACATTGTGTTTTTTTAAAATTAATTATTGCAATAATATGTTAAAATTTATTAATTGAGTTATTTAAGCAGACCTCAAGAGATTCCAGAAGGTACAAAACCTAGTGTAGTAAAAGTTGGCATTTTGGGATTTATTTATCACAATCAATGCATTTCCTTGTTCAGTAGACACACATACAAGAATCCCACATCAGTGACGGAAAAAAAGCTTCTTCACTTTATGTATTTTTTTTAATCAAATAAGGGCATCTTTAGTGAGCATAAGACACTTATATATATTTACAGGTGCATCTCAATAAATTAGAATGTTGTGTAAAAGTTCATTTATTTCAGTAATTCAACTCAAATTGTGAAACTCGTGTATTAAATAAATTCAATGCACACAGACTGAAGTAGTTTAAGTCTTTGGTTCTTTTAATTGTCATGATTTTGGCTCACATTTAACAAAAACCCACCAATTCACTATCTCAACAAATTAGAATATGGTGACATGCCAATCAGCTAATCAACTCAAAACACCTGCAAAGGTTTCCTGAGCCTTCTAACTGAGATTACCTTGCCTTGAAAATTGAGGAATACATGTTTACTATTTGCTAACATTCACAACAGTATTTGCACAATTGGGTATCAGGCTTTGAGCTTTACTTATGTAAAACACTGAGGTAAAATCTATGTAAATCAGTCATATTTATTGCTTAAGGAGTGAGTTTTAAACCCATCATTATAGTGTGATGCTTGTGATGCTTATTCAGCTCTGTGTTTGCCTGTTATAAAATTTCCAATGCAGGGTCAGCTTGGAAATGCCCTTGAAATCCATATCCACATGCATTACATTTTTCTCTGTATGCATGCATGAATGCATAAATACGCTGTTGCTAGAATCCTATGTAGATACATACTGTAAACTGTGTTCAATTTTGGATCTGTGATATTAATGCAAATAGAAGACTGACTTTAATACACATCTTGCCAGTCAGATCTTTCTGTATTCATAGATTACCTCAATGAAACCCCTTGGGTCTAGTGCAGGATTTATCCTTTAGATCTGATAAGTAAACAAGGGTCTCACGTTGAGTTTATTGGAAAGCCAGAGCTGTGTCCTGTTCATTGTCTAAAGCCAGCTATGATCTCTTTTTGTCAAGTCAATACTGAAATACATGGTGAACAAGTACTGTGGCTTGCTTTTGAAATAGACCCAAAAACCCTGTTGTCAAAGGAGCTGTGTTGTGAGAAGTAATTGAAAATTCTGCAGGGCTCAGGGCCTTGAATATATCATGCGTTTGCCTGACATGAGGCTAACATAATACACAAGGTGTGAGTAATTCTAAACTAGAGCTTTGAGCATTTGTGACGGAGGGATCGCTAAGCGAGTCTTGGCTGTTGCTATCATGTATACATCAGAGGATGGTAAAGCTAGGTGATTTAGCTGATAGATAAATCGGTGTTATTTGTCTGTAGAAAGAAGTAAAATTAAAAAAATTAAAATTAGGCATGACACTACTACAGGCAAAACAATTGTTTTTTCGGGCACTGGTCAATTTTTTGATTTTAGGCTAATTTTGCTTCCATAACATGTCGTCTTTCAGACTATTGCAAAGAAAACATCCAAATTCAAAATTTAAGTGTGAATTTTATTAGTTTATTTATTTGCATCTGTAGATTTAATTTACAATACACATCTTTAGATTTATGTTTGTAGAAATGTATGCAAATTATTGTGTATTTAATTAGATAATACCTTATTTGCACATTTTAACACAACATTTTAGAAAACGTGTAATACAAAACAATTGTTTTAATGTAATGAGATTAATCAACTGGGCAAGTATGGTGAGACCTGTTAGTTGTTGTTTTTTGGACCGCACAATGAAAGTCAATGGTTTGTCAATGCACCTCATTGACTTTCACTGTATAGACAAAAAAACAAAAAAAATTCAAAGTGGGTCTCATTGATGGGTATCATCTTCAGCTGTAGTGTCCACTCGTCTTCACACAACTGTGAAAGACAGCAGCTGTGTTTTCGAGGACTGAGCACTATGGAGAATTTCTCAGAAGCAGGGCTGAAACTATCATAACATTTACTAATTTTGTTGTTGCACAACTGTTCAAGGCCACCAGTCTTTGAGGAATCACATGTCGGTACCCCAGCAGAAAGGTCAACGAGCACTCAGAACAGATCGGTTTCCTAAAGGGTGCAAGTTGGTCTTCTGTATGTGGTAAAACCACAGTCTTTGCAACCTCTGTGACGTTATTCATGACCTTGTTATGCATTAGGACAGTCATTTAACCCTGTGTCCATAAGTTTACAAATAAGTGCATAGCTTTTTTTGACATCATGGTTACTTGACGGGAAAATTAATGGGAGTGTAATACTTCACCCTTGCCCTTTGTACCAATGCCCCCCAAGAATGCCCACAGGAATCTTGATTGCGCCTTTAGTTGGGAAATGATTATGCCGAGTAATGTCACTTATTTGCTTTCTCTTCAAAAGCCACATACCATTTAAAGGCACTTACCTAATATGTCGGTGCTAATTTTGTAAGCATGATCATAAATGTGTGGTTATTTCAAGTTTACTAAAACAAAAACTATTTAAAAAGTTTTAGGTAATTGGAATAAAGCTGAAATAAAATAAAATATAAATATTAGATTATTAGAAAAAAATAATTTTAAAAAATCCAATGATATGAGAAATGTTGCCTTGGCAACTAACTCAGGGAAGTCTAGGGAAGTCGTGGCCTAATGGTTAGAGAGTCGGACTCATAACCCAAAAGGTTGTGGGTTTGAGTCTCGTACCGGCAGGGATTGTAGGTGGGGGGAGTGAATGTACAGCACTCTCTCCCACCTTCAATACCACGACTGAGGTGCCCTTGAGCAAGGCACCGAACCCCCAACTGCTCCCCGGGCGCCGCAGCATAAATGGCTGCCCACTGCTCCGGGTGTGTGTTCACGGTTTGTGTGTGTTCACTGCTGTGTGTGTGCACTTTGGATGGGTAAATGCAGAGCACTAATTCC